ACCGGATTTTCCTCCACTCGCCAGAGATATCACGCTCGATCGCCATTTTTCCCTCCGACCGAGAGAACTAAAAACTAACGCGCGCTATAAATCGAACGCTCTACTAATAACCCGTGCAACGGCGAAATGAATGCCACGGTAATAACGATACGAAATAATACCGCGAACGGGTACACAGCCGGATGGCCATGTAAATAACTTTCGAGTCGCGTCAGCGTTGCCGACTCCAAGTAAAATTACCGTAAAACTTTGCCCTTTCGACGCGATTAACCGCGTACGATCGCGAGCGTGATGCGAGCAGACGATAAGAGAGGAATATGCACGCGCGCGATGGAAGACGTCGCGGAGGGAAACGTTTCCTCGTTCCAAAAATCGGCAGACCGCTAAATTACCGAGGCGACCGAACGTTTCCATCTGAACGGAAAACGAGACGCGTTCGGTGTCGTGGGAGCGTGGACGGTCGTAAAAAGTCCCTTTGCGAATCGCGTCCCGAAGCGAGCAGCCAGGCAACACGGTGAACGTCGTCGACCGGTGGCCAACGTCCGAGCGAGCTAAGTACCCTCGTGGTAATAATTATTCTCGAAACGCGAGAGCGGCAATTAGCATCTCATTGGCTCATTTCTCGCTTATGCTAATGGGAGTATTATTAAAGCGCGTGTGCGAGAGCAGATCCCTCGGTTTCTCTTCTCTTCGCAGAGGCCATCTCTCGAACGCGGCTCCGTGCAACTCTCGCGTGCACGGGCTGCTTGCTTTGCTCTCTTCCGCGACTAAAGCGGCCAACACCGTGGTATGCCCATCTTTCCTTCCCTCGTTTCGTTTACGACGACGTGCAAGACGTTTCGGCCACCGTTTCGTACGCCCACGACGCGACACCTCGACCTCTATAGCCGCCACTGTCACGCCGCTTTCTCCGAGTCGTCGCGCGGAAATCGCGGGAAAAATCGCGCTAGACTCGTCTCAGTTGGGATCTCGATAGGATGCACACGAGGCTTCGACTCGATCGCGAATTCATCGATCGTTGGAAAATTACGGACGAGGAGTGACCGAGATTTCTTCTTTTTCGAAATGAAAGTTAACCGCGAAGTTCTCACAGAGATCGGCGGAAATCGGTGACACGGCAGCCGATCCAGATAACGCGGAACGCGGGACAGGGGAAAATACGCGAGGACGAGAAAGATAAGGTTCGAATTAATGGAATTAACGAAGAAGAGGACCTATCGGATTGGATATTGTCCGTTCGATCGGAACGCAAGGAGATAAGATCCGCGTGCCGGTCGGAAAACACGGATTCCATCGAAAGAATGGAGAGCACGCTTTCTCCGAGGTGGAAGGATTGGCAAGGGGGCGAACGGGGTTCTCGCTTTTAACCCCGTAGGAAACCCTTGACCTTCGGTGAATTGAGAGAACGGGCTCGCTACACGCTTTACCTCGTCCGCCATTGTACGTGCCTCTTCCGGCGTGGAACAACTCCCCGACCCCGTTTTGCATGCCTCAGCCGAAGGTTAAAGGTAGAAGGAATGGAAGGAGGCGGAGGACTGCTCGACATACTCGCGATGCAGGCATAGTTTGTCCCGTTCTGACGCGTTACTCGCGCGCTCCGAAGACGAAGAACTGACCGTTCGTGCGAGAAGAATTACTCTGTCCCGAAATCGATTTCCTTTCGAGGGAATTTTCCGTCCGGAACGATGGATTAAAGGGCAAATCGCGATATTCGTACGAGTGGAAACGTTGTAAATATTCGAGAGCAACGCGAGGATTCCCTTTGTGCGTGCCCCGGCGAAGAGAGGCCGGGCGAGACGAGGCACTTTCCCGAGGCTTTCCCGCCGGTTTCCCGGGGACCACCGCAGCTGCGTCGAATTTTCTGCCATCTCGAGTCCTTTCGTGCCTGTTCCCTCGACCGTGTCACCGCGTCGTTTCCAGGCGACCTTTCCAATCAACGCACGAGAGACCATATCCCGTATACCCGCGAGCCCCGACAGAGAGCCGGGAGAGTGCTCGTGGCGAGGCACTTTCCGTTCGGCGAAATAATCGCGGCAAAAAGCCGGCTTCTGTCGATCGACGGCCATCTCCTCGCGAGACAGAGCGGAGAGAAGGCAGCGAGAGAAGAGAGGACCTGTGTTGTGTGTCGGCGAGAAAGGGGAGGGAAGAAAAAAGGGCCCCGAGAAAGGATGGAAAGAAGGGGTAACGGGCGGGGAGGGGCAAAGGGCGCGAACGGCAAAAACCGCGGACGTTACGTGCCTGTTCTTTACGATAGAAGCTCATTGCTCGTAGATTGCGATTTGCCACGGACGTAATGAAGCCACGCCACCGGCTTCTGCCGGCGAACGAGCCACGCCGATCCACCACTGCGATTTTCGATCCTCCGCAAAGAGGCTTCTCGGGCTTTCCTCGCCCCCCGGCTTCCCTCAGCCGTTCGTAAATTTTCTAGCGGATTCGACTCGCGAGTTTTTGCTATGCCGTTAGAGAGCCCCGTGTGCGTTTATAGGGCCGGTTTTCGACGGAACCCGGGAACGCAGAGGGGGCCGCGCCGTATCGTTCCTCCGAACCCGGGGGGATCGGGAGAAATTGGGAAACGACACGCATGACGGAGAGAGTAGCGTTCGATTTGAAAACGAGCATTAAAGTGGGGATGGATGGACGAACCAGGCGTTCGTATTCGAGCGAAAAGGCACGAGCGTTTGTTACGATTGGTGTTCCTCGCGCGAGACGTTTCGAATTATCGCGTTTGTAGCAACAGGTGCAATAATGGCGAAACTCGATCGACGATGCGCGTAGGCTGGCCCCCGTATACGCGAATCGGGAGTAGGGATTATGTTCTTTTCTTCGATCCAGCACTCTGATACGAGAGACTCGAAATTTCAGCTTTGGCCACGCCGTTCTTGCCGGACGATGAAAAGGGACTCGAAAATGGGAGAAAAACCAGACGCGTTCTGCCAAACGCAACGATACTCCGACTTCCAACTATGGAATTCGAGAACATTCGAGAGCACGTAGTAACAGTAATACCTGGCAACGCGTCACTGCGAAGTCACCGAAGCGTCCAGTCTCGTTTCCTTTTAAAATTTAGATGAAACGCGTGTCTCGCTGTTCGTGCTTACATTTATTTAATGTCACGGATGCATAATTCGGCACGGCTCTTTCGATGATGCGAGAGGCTAGTGAACACGCGCACACTACCCGTAACCACGTAATATATCTCGCTCGCTTTTTCCCCTCGGCCCGCGTTTTTCCCGTCCTTTGCGCGCTTCTCCCTCTCCCATCCGCTCCCCGCTTCCTCTTCTCCTCTTCCATTCTGTTTCCATTTTTTTTTTTTTCCATTTTTGTTTTTCCTATTTTTCTTTTTTTTTTGCCTCTCTTTTTGTTATTCCTTTTTTTTCCCCCCCGTTTTATTTCGTTCGTTTTCTGTTTCAGCAGATCGAGACCGAGCGACAGTTGTGACAACAGCGGCGCGAGATGCGAGCCGGTACACCTTGCGTGGATGTTTGCGCGCGGACCGATGCCGTCCTGACAGCTCAGATAACGGGCGTGACATTTTGAAAAATTGAGGCCAACGATGCGAACAACGTCAACGAAATGCATCCCCGTCGTCCGTTTTCCTTCTCCCCCTTTTTTTCCACCGCTGTACCGCGAGCGTGGGCTCGGCGAAAAAACCAACGGGGAAAAAATAACGCAGAGAGAGAGAAAGAGAGAGAGAGCGACGCGAACAACGTACACCGGTTCACCATTAACACGCTCGATATATCCAATTTTGAATTACGAGCGAATATTCGAAAACGCGCGACACCTTTTTCCCAGAGCAGACGACACGTCTGTAAGGGATGCGAGCATCGCTGAGTGGACTTTACGATGAAAAATTGCGCGGGCTCGTTCGATGCTGCTCCCTCGAGGATAATTAGAGATCGGATCTACGAACGAACGTCTACTACCACGCTGCTATCAGGTGTTCCATTAGATTTCGCGTTTTTCGATACGTTTCGCGGGATTCCGGCGTGTTTTTGACGGTTGTTCGATGGCTCGCAGCGAGCGCGCGAAAGTTGGCGGAGAGACAAAGAGAAAAAGGAGGAGAATCGAGGGACAACGGTGTGGAAGAAGGAATCCGTAATGGCAGGTCGACGTTGAGCTGGGCCGAGCATCGATGGGCCGCGTGTGCGCGTCCTCGTCCGGCAAGGAATACACCCGAGTTATTTAAAAAGCCCACTATATCCGTTATCTCGATCGGAGAACGCGAAGGGTCGTTTGAAATATTTCTTCCTCCGGTGTTTCGAAGGTCTGCCATTCGGAATGGCTGCCGACCAGAGCCAGCCACGGGGAAACAAAGGCGCGGCAACGAGTCCTCCGCGTTTCGTTTCTTCTTAATCATCGCGTTACCTCGATTCCGCGTACGCTTTCACGCTCCGAATTTTCCACGGGCATCGCGAGCTATCTGGCCATCGATGGTAATAACTCCTCTTATCCGGGGTATCGCTTTCCATCGCGGACGTTGAAGGCGAATTTATTGCGCGTGGTCGACGGGGGGAGTTTTCGAATTTGCAAAGCAACACCGCGCTTCTTTTTCCAATTATCAAACATCAGGAGTTACGTGCAACCTCGTTACCCCGTCCGCGGAAGCTTCGCCGCCGCCACACGTCCGGTTTGATTTTCCAGCAGCTCGTTGCCCCTAATTTCCATCGATAATTAAACGTTTCCCGTGCAGAGGGCGGCGGCGGCTTTTCCGTCCTCATCCTTCAAAACGAATGCTCGCGCGCGCGCCGGGTGGCCACGAATCACCACGATCGTCAGATAAAACTGAACGATTAGGCGCGAACGAGTGGAGCGTGTAGAACGGAAGGAAAAAACAAAAGAGAGAGAGAGAGAGAGAGAGAGAGAGAGAGAGAGAGAGAAAGAGAGAGGAAGTAAGGAAGGAAAAAATGGAGAGAGCATGCATCGACGAACAGACGGAAAATATGGTTCGTGTCTGGCGGGCAAGTTCGCGCGACACTGAGAAACAAGGAAATACTCACCAGCGAGTCCACCTCCGGGTCCGCGATGTAGTAGGGTTTCTCTTGTCTGATCTGTAACACACGAGCACACACGTAAGGAGCTTTAATAATTAGACTCGGTGGTAATTGCGGTATTAAAACTATAGGGACGATCGTATCTCGACTAGCGTATATACGCGTACACGCGCGTTCCTTTATTTCGTTCCTCCCCTCTCGCTCGCTCCCGTCAGATCCTTCGTGCGTCTAACATCCCTCTCTCGCTCCCTCTTTCACTCTCTTTCTCTCTCTCTCTCTCTCTCTCTCTTTCTCTCTCGCCACCATTTTATTCCGTCCCCGTACACCACCGCCACACGGCTGCCCACACACGGTTCACTGTTCCAGCCTGGTCTCTCTCTCTAAGCGATTTCCTTCGCGTGCTTCCTCTTAATTGGACCCCCACTGTTCAATTCGTACGTATAGAAACGGAAACGCGTCGGTGAACGCGATGGAATTCTCTCGACGGCGCGAGCAGCCCGACGCGGAGGACGCGGGAGGACGAGAAAGAGGGAAACGAACAGAGAAAAACGTTGTGGCGAACGAAAGACGAGAACCGGGGATTCTCGAGCAATTTTCATGGCGCCGCGTATAGTGCCGATCAGAATGGAAACAAAACGCACGAGAGGGGAGAGAAAGAGAGAGAGAGAGAAACAGAGAGGAACGATGCCCGAGTCTCCTCGGGTCCGCTCTTAATTGGACCCACGGTGTTCTTACTGAAAGGACGCGAGCCGGGGGGACCAGCGGAAGAAAAAAGACGAGACGGACGACAAATCTCGATGGAAGTACCGGTTAATCTCGTGGAATCCAGCGGCGGACCGCGGCAGATTATGCTCACCCGACACCGAACCGCGCCATCTGATTAGAACGCTCGTTCCCGGCCAAGGGATGAATATCGTTAACATTCTTCCCGCGCTCCGCCACGATCCTCGATATTGTTTCTCCCAATGGTATTTATAGACAGCCCCCCTCACCCCCGTTTTATAATAATCAGTTTCTCCACTTTCACTGGCAACCAAGATTCGCGCTGACGTTCAAGCGTCGCACTCCGAGATGATCGATCGAATTTCGATCATTTTCAAAACGAAGAATTCTATTCGTCGATGACGATCAGTCGACCAAGGAGGAGCGAGTAATTTGGCGAATGCTCGACGCAGCGATTTCGAAATGCTCCATAGCGATTCGTACACCCGTGGTTATGCAACTCGGTTTACGAAATGGCGTCGCCGGTTTGCCGTTGAACTCTGAACGAGGCAACGCTGCCCCTGCCGGCGTTTAAAATATTCAAAGCAACCCCCGGTGACTGACAGGGGGGCATGCATGTGGAAAAACGGGTCGGACGTTAAAATCGAATTACCGGTCGACGATCGACCGCGGCAGCGCGCGTAAACGCGATCGCGAGAATTCTGGGAACGGGTCCGAGGAGCGTGTATTCATGAGTCTGAATCGTGAATGGGAGTTCCTCTCGCATCGGGTGTATGGATAATGAAGGCGTTTCGTACGCTGCACAAAAATACTGTCGACTCTTCGTAGGGGGGAACTAGTTCTTGCAGGGCCCTGTGTCACCGTGCTTTTTCGACGGTCCCCAAGCGGCGACCTAAGCGCCGTTCAGGTAGCCACGTCGATTACAAATTGCGAGCGACTCCGTGGTCCGAACCGGCTCGATCCTTTCCAATTTTGTTCCTCATCCACGCCGATATGCCCGTCGACCGTTAATTTATGGCCTGGTAGCGGAATTATACGCGGAAGATGAAGAAATACCGATAGTATCGAGGTTAATCGTTTCGGAATAAAGATAAGCGAAATGTACACGGAAGTTTGCGCCTCCTATCACGACCGATCGCAACGACTGTATCATGCTGATTAGAAGGCAGGGGAGCAGCGAGTGACAGCTAATTGAGCCCATGCATATGTATAAAGCAATACCAGCGCTATTAATGTGACACTGTTCGTCGTTAAATATCCGAGATCGTCCATATTTATCGCGCGTCACGTCGTGAATGAAACGAAAATACGGTCAGCATGGAGGACGCGGCCGCAGCCGCCGCCATTGACGTGGTGGCGCGTTCCCCACGGGGTTTCGCGAAAATTTCGATCGAATCCAGGTAGCGTAAAAATAAGAACGGAGATTTTCCTCTCCGCTGTAACGTGGAAAAAAGGCGAACAGTCTCGCGGCTGAAAAATAATAAATATCGATACGTCGGAGAGAAATTCCGCGGGGCCAGCCCGGTGTATACCTACACACGCGCGCTTCTCCATCGAGCCCGAGATAAAAATATTGCGCGATAATATTTAGAGAATGCTCTCGTTCCGGCACGTCTGTTTAGGGCAGAGCGGTATGCACGTATGAGGTTGGTGGTGTGCGACGATCCTGCCGAGAGATATACGGAGCAGCTGCTCTACTCGGCGTGGCTGTTGCTTCTGTTTCCACGGCCATCGCGCGTCCGGCCCGCCGAAAAAGCCTTGCGTATCTCTCTCACACTCTCTCTCTCTCTCTCTCTTCGAGCGGAGAAAACATCGCGTAGGAACACGGGGGCTCGTGACGGCAAGAGTGGAGCGAGAATCGACGAGAAATCAAAATAAAAGGGCCGTTCGGGGTAGAGGAAGAGGCCTCGTGGGTCCGCAGGCGATTGTCTCCCCGGTGTCTTCGCGCAGTAAAACGAATTGCACCCCGCGTAAACTTTACGACACCTACACCTCTCTCCACGCCATGGGACCGTGCGATGGGATCGTCCCATGGAAATAGCCGCGTGGCGCGCACTTTCCTCCAAACTACCCGGGCAAAAGGCACGTCGTCGCAGTAAAACAATACGCGAGGAACAGCCTGTCGAACCTACGGAACGAGGGGGTATATATCGGTGCCCTTCCAGGTGACACGAGCGTAAACTTTGACGCTCGTTGACTTTCCCCGGGGACCTTGACTCGGCGTCGGTAACCGTCCCGGTGTGACCTGGCGATCGTAAAGAAATCGACCAGAGTTGTCGTACCGAGGCGCGTACGCGCGAGGATCGCAGAAGAAGTCGGAGTTAATCCGTCGAGCACACGATGGTGTAGTAGGCACTGTAAAAGGAAATTTTCTTTATGGAGGCAACGGCTGGTTAATTGCCACGATGGAAGACAGAGCGTAGCTCGGTTCTCGGTCGTGTTCAGTGGAACTGTCCGAGCTTTTTTCCAGCCGGATAATGGGCCGACGATGCGAGAGAAAGCGGGCAAGAACTTAATTTACCTTGATCGATGTAGTCGTGAAATAAGGGGAAAAAATGGACACGGGCTCGGTTAGTCGGGCTTATTTAAAATAGATCGCGGGATAATCGATCGGTATAGACACAGTCCTCGAGCGGGAAGATAACGAACGGACGATTAGCGAGGGCAACGCAGGGGGAGGGAGGGCCAGGTGAGAGCGGAGCATATGGGCGAGCTTTAGAAACCGTTGCTGGCCGGAGAAGACACAGACAAGGAAGGAAGTTGCGATTCGTCGACGACGACGCGGAACGACGTCGCGAGAACCGGTCCAACGAGAGGACTCGGGTCAGAGAATAAGCTCTCTTACACGGCTTTCCCGCGAGAGCTTCGTTTCGTTAATTAGCTCCGGAATCGATCGACGCGCCGTTCAGAAAGCATCGATAAGCCGGCAACGCGACCTGGGATCGTTCAACGCTCTGGAATTCTGTGTAATCGCGTTTAATTGCATCGTTTTATAAGCGACCAATAAAGCGGGCAATAAAGCGCGAGTCTATTAAATTTTTCCATTCCGCGAAAAGAGCGAGAGAGAGAAAGGGGGAGCAGGCGAAGGGATGGAAGTGAGAGAAAGAGGGGCGACTCGTGAAATCGCACGATTATCGCCGAGCGAACGAGCGCCATTTTTCGTTATAGAAAAATCGGTAGCGCGGATAAGTCGATGGACGCCCGTCGATCGGGTCTGTTTGTCCGCGCGACAAAAGCGCCGTCGTGGCTGCCGTTATCGCGATTATGATAATCCGGCTTTGGGCTTGTTTACACTTTCCCCCGACGTCAGCGTACGACAGAGAGAGAGCGAAAGAGAGAGAGAGACATCTCGAAACCTCTACGCTGAAAAACTTATCGAGAGTTGAGAATCGTAAGAATCGTGCATACGGATGAGCAACTTTTCGCGCGTTCGTGATCAGCTCGAGGAAAGCGAATTTTCCGACAGGTCGGGGAAAGAAAAGGCGAATACGTAAATTCGTAGGAAACGATGTCCACACCTCGAAGGTGGGAAAGCAGGTAGCGTGCGCGGAGGACGTGCCTGTCTCGCGGTCGCATTAGTCAGGCCGTCAGAGTGCGGGGGCCAACGTTTTACAAGGGTTTAATGCCCCCGGAGGTGCATTCTAATTGCACCAATAAATCCCAACGGGTCCTTGTCCGGCGTTTCCCGCTCGTCTCCTTTCTCTACTGTCTTTACGGGCTGGCCCCGCGCGGTTCCGTCGTCCTGACATCGCGATGGCCCTCCACACGCCCACGTTCCACGCTGCTGAGCACCGTTTTGGCGGTCTGAAAGGCGACCTACGCGTTTCAGGTGGCACGATTACCTCGTGACGCCTGCTCGAGTCCGCGCGAGCGAACGAGCGAGCGAGCGAGACGGGTAAAAATCTTCTTTCTTTTCGGTCAGCGTGCGGAAAGGACCGAGCCGAAAAATTTCGTCGAACGAGATCCTCTCGCGGTACGTCTGGCAAAAGAGCGTCGATGCTCCCTTGGCCGAGCGAATAATTTAGGCGCAGGGAAGCGCAAACACGGCGCACCGGGATGCCGACGAAAGCGAAATTTTCGCAGCGGAGCGCCCACGGTGGGCACGAAAACTGGGACGGCCGATCCATCTGGTAAAAAAGGGCACAACAATGCGCGTAACGTGGCACAGCGGGACGCTCCTGCGGTGCGCGCGTTGCTACGTCGCAGGCAACCAGCCACGGCTAGCCGACCAACGCGCAACCCGCCTGAACGCGGAGAGGCTAAAGCCGAAGCTCGAAGGCAACGCGCAAAAAGGGAGCGCGCGGAGAACGGGGCTGCTCGCGTGTGGAATGTATCGGGGCCCCATAGGGCACGCACGATGCGTGGACCGCACGGGATAATGCCGGGCCCCATTGAATAGATCAATTTACAATGGCAGAAAATGAGCAGCGCTCTCTCCACCGGCTGCGCAGCACCCCTTCTCTGCCCCCTCCAACGCGACCGGCTCTCGCTACGGTTCGTCGCTTCTCACGACTCGGCAGCGGCGGTGGTCGTGCCGCGACTGAGACTGCGCATGCGCCGTCCGCCGCGACCGGGCCATCGCGCATGCGCCTGCTCATGCCGCGCACGCAACGAAAACGAAACGCGGACGAATAATCCCGTGTACGCGAGGCGCGCGCGGCCCTTTTGTCGCGCGCACCGGCCCTACTATATCTCCGTCCAAGTATCGACGGGGTGTAAAAGGGCTCCAACGACACGCCTCGAAAACCGCCGCAAGAGGATTGTCACCTGCTTATCTTTTCACGTGTACCGCCGGTGTGCGTGTACACAAGCTCTCCCGTGACCCCTCCGCGACCGTTGCCTCTACCAAACGACCTCTCGTTCCCTTTCTTTCCCTCCCTCTCATTCGCTCTAGACATCGGTGACGACAGATCGATGGGAAGTAAAGAACGAGTGGGCGAGGCGGCATGGATTTGCCTATAATCGCCGGTGTAATCTGCGCGTCCACGACCACGGAGACTCCTAGCGAAACGAATTTCGTCCCGTTCTCGTCCCGCGACGAGATAAACACGCACGGAAAATTTCATAACGCCCTTGCCGACTCGATATCAAAATTCATTATCTGCCCTGCGAAGAATGCTCCGTGGGGGAACACCGCGATCGCGCCACAGGGTAACCGGCTGTCCCCCTCGACGATTTGTTTATCCGCTCGTGGGGTCGGCGCGTAATCTGCGAATTAGTAGCGGGACACGGGACTCGGTCCTACTCGCTTTCGGTTAGGGCACCGTTGTTACGCGATTCTGCTTCCTCGTTTCGCAACTTTTCGCCGCGTTGCTCGGCGAGTCCTCTTCGTCTTGGCGACAGGATGCCCCGAGGTGCACGACGACGAGGGACACGACGGCTGTCGCGTATCCGCGACGTTCTCCGCTCGCAGCGCGCAGCCAACCGGCGTACAGAAAGGGAAATTAATTGCGTCGATAGCACGGCTGAAATACGAGGTCCGCGCGTGAAAGAACATCAACGAGATACGTTTGCGGCGGATCGCCGCGGAAAGAAAGGGAAACGGCCGGGCAAAAGGCGGCGCGCAATTTACTACGCGCGCGGTTCAGCCGCGATACGCGGCCGCGCGGTCGCGGCGGCAGAGAAACGCCACGGAGCCTTCGGGTATCCTTCTTTCCATTTTTTCCCTTCTTCTCCGACCCCCGCTCCTCCCGTCTTCCGCCGCGTAATCCTATGCGCCTTATTAAGATGCAAATGTCATGTCAATTTCGCAATCCTAACGGACTCTCCGTGAGTACGCGCCGTTGTCTCGCTCGGCATAATGTCGACATGCCGCGGATAAATAATAGGACGACCGAACGGGCGAACGATTTAACGAGAATGCCGGACGATCGAGGATAGGGGGATCGGAATTTTCATAAACTTCAATTTTATCTTTTTCTCTTTTTTTTCCTTTTTTTCCTTTTTTCTTTTTTCTCTTTTCCCCCCCGTGAAAACGCGTCATTCGTATTCGAATCGCGCGTACGCGTGGAACGCACCGATGACGTAGCATCGAATCAACGCCGAGAGCCAGCTCACCCCTTATCCTATACCTTTGCGACGAGGCTTAACTCTTATCGTTATCTCGGCGCACCGTGGCTCGAGCCGGTCGCTACCGTGTTACCGCCGTTCTATATTTAAACGTTACGAGCCGCCAGCTGATTTTTCGGCGTTCGAAACGCACTTAACGAAATCCACGGTAACCCTTCGAACCTCTCGAACCTTCATTCGCCGGGGAAGCCCGTTCGGTGAGTGTGTGCTCGTTCGGAATAATTAGCGCGCGGGCCAGGCAAGAGAAACGGAGGAGCGTTTCGTCGAAGGCAGAAGTGCAATTTTATGCAAAGATAACCCACGAACGGCGTGGCTATCTAGCTCTACGATATACATACGCGCCGATATCCCTCAATCTAAATGTGCTGCATTCGTTTGCATCGACTAAACGCGCAAAGAACCACCAAGGCAACATTTTTATCGTCCGCACTGTCGGCTCGACTTAATCGCCTCCGCTTTGTTTTCACCGGCAAATATCCCCGCTATTCCGTGTCCCCGTGAAACCGTTCTGTCATTCCTATGAGAAACGAACCACCGGGGTACACCGTCGCGTCCGCCCGTCCGACCGTTCCCTTTTTCCATCCGACCGCTTCCCGGGGGCAAGAAAATCGATAATATATTCCCAACGACGACGAATCCATCGACTCGCCACAGAAGGTGCGCGTAGCTACACCGAGAGACACGGTCACGGGTGTATACCTGAACGTGCTCGCTGCCCGATCTACGCGCACCTTTCTCGCCGACCCGGGGGCCAGGAACGCAGGATGGCGAAACGGTGTGTTTTTAAAAGGCCGAAATGATTTCGCGTATAGGTTCTCCGATTACCTACGCGCGTGTCCTTGGCAGGACTCGCCTCAGGTGAGTTACCGGAGTGAGAGAAGAGCGCGACGAGGGCCCAAGGCGGAGGAGAAAAACCGGCAGCGAAAGAGAGAGAAAGCAGAAGAAAAGGGACCGCCGCGCGAACAACAACGCGAATACGAGTCTTCTTCCGGCTGGTTAGCCGCGCCGGAGAACGCGGCCCTGAACGATCTCTGGCCCGATGCTCGTCGTCGGTTGCCTCGCTGGAATTCCTAAAAATAAGTCCCAACGACGAGAGCCAGCTCCTTCGGACCCTAAACATCCACCACGGGTTACATCCATGGCCGCGCAACGCTATTTCGTCGTCGTCGGAGAAGGACGTGTCGAGAGAGTCGTGACTCATTTGGAGCGGTTCGAAATCCTCTCTCTTCGTCCCTCTCTCTCGCTCTCCGTCAGCCTTCCTCCTTTCGCTTCCTTGCTTGCTTTCTTTCTTTCTTTCTTTCTTTCTGTTGGCCCTAGAAGAGGTTACTTTCCGACATTCTCTCACGAAGCATCTGTGCGCGACGACGTTGTTCGACGGAATCGGGGAAACCAGGGGCGTCGAGGACCCCCTTTTCTGGTTTTCGAATCACGGGGAGGGTGAGACCGCTGCCAAGCTACGTGTTACTTCTATTCTAGTTCTCTTACGATATCCGTCTGCTGCGACATTTTTAAAATAATCGTCGCTCGCGTTTGCTCCTCCATCGTCTGGCATTCTCACGCGTAGCGAGCGTATTTTTACTACTCACGTGGGAGATATTAAGTTATTCTTCGCGTTTCCAATTTCTTATTTCTCATACCCCGACCCTTTATCCAAAATTTAGTACCCGCTCGGAGACGTAGCACGTTGAACCCCCAAAGTTGGATCGCGAGACGTCCTTTTGACAGGGTGAGAATATCGAAAGACACTTACCTGTTTGGAGAAGACCGCGATGTCCTCGTTGAAGCTCTCTGACGAACACACGTCACCACCCGCGACGCCAGGTTCACGCGGCGTACACGTCGCCAGCTCGCACTTCTCGAAGATCAGCGCGAGAAGCGGGAACAGGGGGTGTCTGTAACAAGAGAAAGCCACGGTGAGACGAAGACAGGCGCAACCTGCCGATTCGACCGGATCTCGCGAGGCGATCGCACCTCGTGCCAGGCCAATTCGAGGTATTAATTAATTCCGTGACTGGTAGACAGGTCTGTTTCGTTTTTCGACCGATTTACTCCGAGGTTTATTTCCCGCGCGCTGCTCCCCGGCTTTCCTCCGGGCGCAAAGAGGACGATAAATCGATGATTCGTGGATCGGCGAACGATATCGTCGATTGAAAGGCTATCCGAGACAACGGGTCGAGATGCAGATAAGAGAAGAGAACGAGGCGGTGAAAGCGAGCTGCGAGATCGATGTTCGAAATCTCCGTGATTCTTCTACGATACGCTCCTCCTCTGGTCCTTAACCCTTTTAGGGTGCAATAAACCAACGGAGATTACAGGAAGAATTCTTTTATCATCCGCGCTATTTGCGCTCGTGGTATCAACGGTAATAAACCGTGCGTGATAAACTTCATTTCCTAGCGACTGACGCGCAACGTAATTCCTAGCGTCCTACAGCGTGGAAAAATAATTCGAGCATCGCTTGAGAAAATACACGAAAACCGAGTCTCGTAGAATTCCCTAACGACGCGCACGCGTGCGTAACTCTGCTCGGCGAAAATCCGCCATTTTTACCGCTCGCTGCTCCCGCGGCCGCGTACCCCTTTCGCCGTCCGACGGCGCCCGATCGCCACCTGCCTTCTCCTGCCTTCGCCGATAAGTCCATCGGCGTTTACACGATCGTTGCCCACCAGCTATTCGTCGTTTTTCCGCCACAGGCGGCGATACATTTTTCTTCTAGCCGCGACGCTTTTCTAATTGAGCGATTGCCCCGCGAGCAAACGAATGTCGCGCCGCGCGATCCGATCGGTCGCGGCGTGCGAGGAAAACTGCGAACGAGAATGGTGAGAGAGCGAGAGAGAGAGAGAGGGAGGGAGGGAGAGGGGTTGGAGAAAAAAGAACGGAGGGAAAAAAAGGATGGAACGCGGCAATTAACGGAGGTGTCCGATCGGCTGGCTACCATAAAAATCCCGCGGCCGCGTTTTCTATTCCCCGCGTTAATTATCCGGCTCGTGTATCGACGCGATCGTAAACATCCGCCGCGTTTGTATACTAAACGCTCTTATTTCCAAGCACGGGGGGCGAAAAGAATATTTTCACGGTGCACCTCGAGCGTGTTGCACGCCGAGCACCGGTTACCGCGGCATTAGGTGGATCACCGGATAAGATAAGATTAGTCGATGCTGGGGCAACCGCGCATTGCAACCGCAGGGGG